CAAAACTATAATACCACATGGGTTAATTTTCCTGATCTTAGCACCTGCAATAGCCTATGGGGTTTATGTAGGTTGACAACTTAATATCAAATAGGCTTCTCCAGCTGCGTTTTGATCCCGGAAAAAAAATCGAAACCTATTGCCCTTTGGTGGAGTACGTTAGAATGGCTGTCATGCCAACCTGATGCCGCTTGCTGCTTCCTGTTGATCTGGATCATTCAAGGCCAACTACATCGCCTCTTAATTGTGATTTACAGACTTTGAAATAGGCTCTGAACTTTTTTCTTTCCCTAAACACACTCGGCCAGCGCTGGTGTATTTTTGTTTGGCGACTAATAATACTATTTTTCCTTCAATCTGATTCTGCACGTCATTAGCTGATGATACATATATTGTTTCCCTCAGCAAAAATTTGTCATGTTTGTAATTGGTAGTTAGCACAAGCCTCGGTTCTTCTTGCGTTGCTAATTTACTCTTATTTCTTTCTCTTTGCTGATTACCTGACTATGGGGTGCTTCTGATGCTAGATCATTTATGCATTGTGATGGTCTGTGAAGGCTCAAGCATACAGTCCTCTGGGATGGTCTATGAAGGCTCAAACATGCTTGCCCTGTCAGGCTGCCATTTGCCCCTTCCTTTTGGTTAGAATTTATTAATGCATTTATGAAATGATGCGATATTCCTTTGCTTCTTTGTTTTGTCACAAGTTCCATAGGTTGCCTTTACATATGAAAGTTGCTGGACCACCTGCCAGAAAAGAAGACATCGGCATATGTGCTGCCATTTCACCTATTGGTGTTGTAGCAACATCCCGGTATTCTAACTTTCCTTCATTACTTTGGTCCGTTTACTTGATTCCCATTACCTGTCCTCATCTCCTTTTTGTTTGTTTTGCAAGGATGTACTAGTCTAGGTCCATGTTTGGGGTCTTGCTTATACTGTACCACACCATGTATCTGTGATATTACCTAGGCCAAGGTTACACACCTCCCTATTCGCTTTAGCATCTCATCCTCTTTGTTTGACCCCTTTAATATTCTGTTATGGTTTTCCTGATTCAGGTCTGCATTGAGGTCTGCAGCGGAAAAAAGAGACTTATGAGGCTTATTTTCTATGGTCTATAGCCAATTCCCTCACAGTTATGGGACTTATACTCTATGCTCTAACTTCACTCCATGCGCTTACTTAACTCCATTATCTGGCGCTGTTAGCATAGAGTTTTTACATTTATTATAAGCTGACTTTCTCTCATGAAACATGTCACTTGCAAGGCTACAATTTGTGTTGTATGCAACAATTATTTTGTTATCAGATCCATGCTCTGTCTACTTATTTTACTCTGTTTTGTGGAGACTAAATACTTGCAATGCTGCTACATTTCTAAGACATGATCATATCCGCTCTTTTCAAATCGATACATATTATGTTCAGAACATGGAAACATTGAGACTTAATACTTGCAATGCAATGCTGCTACATTTCTGAGACATGATTATATATACTCTCATTTTTTCCCATCTTCCGTAGGTTGTATGGACTCACCTGAAGGAAACGGCCTGGACATAAACTGCAGCAGTAACTCACAGCCATGCAGTGAGCTCAAGTGACATGCCACTGAAGCAAGTTATGGTCATCTACTTGGTTTATGGCTCCATTTCATGGGCTCATCTACTGATGTATCGCCACTAAGTACATCTGCAGTTGTACCATACAACAGCTAATATGCATGTAAATATATGAATATGTACTTTCTCCCGTAAAGATTATATATTGCAGTCTATATATCCTCCATATTCGAAATCTTTCCTGTTGCCTGTCTACGCGCGCGCCTTGTACTAGTCTATGATACTTTAAGACAAGTTTTAGATCTTAATTTTTTTTTTGAAAGTTGGAGGTCCTGTATGACATCCAGAATACTCAGATATAAATGTATAATAAACTTCAAACTACCAAACTTCGTTGGCCGGATTGTTGCGTCTTTGATCCTCTGAATCTCCCTCGCTGTTGCCGTTGCCGAGTTCGGTGATCCAGCTTCCAGGAACGTACGTCTGCTGCAGAGAATTTGGCTCTCCTCCGTGCGTCATTCCCTGTTTGGGTTGAAGTGGTAAAAGACCATATACTGGACGAAGCTTGCTTGCATGCATGTCACATGTACACACGTCTCCTGCTGCTCTCTTCCACCTAGACATAATTAAGCAACGAAACCAAATACCAATAAACACAAATATCATATTTCCGATCCAGACTCCGGCCTTCTTGCTTGGACAATTATTTCCCAAATAATATAATATATAACAGCCATGATTAACACTAAAGTTAATCAGCTTTATTTATGTATTAAACAAGTGAGATGCCCAAAACATACTCTAGTCATTAATTTTAAATTAGACTAATCAGCCATTATCAATACTAGCCAGCAGGTTAGTCACTTTACATATCATGAGAGTTTCAATAATCACAATATCAAATTTGATAACTAAACCAAATTAAGCTTAAATCTAACTAATCCGGCCAAATAAATTGTCTAAGCATGCTATCTAGCTTTAACTAAAAAAATGTGTCAAATTTGGTTGTCAACATATCCCTATTCCCTGACGCGGCATAGTAGAATGTAGTTTAGATGTTCTTTATGATCATTGTGAGAAACAAAATGAAAAATGGCACAAGTAGCAAATTTATCAAATATTTGAATAGTGTATTAATCCTTTTAAGTGTTGCTCATTTATTATTTGTGTAGCAACTTTTAGCATAACTACATGTATGATGATGCATGAAAAGATGGTTGGATTATCATGAAATTGTCAGCAAGACGTTCCGTAGCAAGGAAGAAGGTTATGAGTTCTACAATAGCTAAGCTTTGGAGAAAGGGTTTACCTTGAGGAGATGCTACATAAAAAGAGACTCAATAACTAAGGAAATATCTCTGCAATCGTCAGAGGTTCCGTGAAGCTAAGCACATGAACAAAGTGATTAATAAGAAGAGAAAGCCACTTAACTTTAGTTGTTGAGAGTGTCTAGCCAAAATGGTAATTGCACTCAAGAAAACAGGACTATGCTATGTGAAGGATTTTATTAATGAACACAGCCAATGGTCTAAGCAGATTTAGCTTGTCTCTTGTAGTCTCACAGAGGAATTAGTAATGAACGGAAAGCTGACATCATTTAGATGAAAATCCCAGGAATTTATAAACACAAAATCATGAATACACGTTATACCATGACTGTGTATTCATCAAAGAGATGAAAATAGACTTTTGGTGAACATAATGTAGTACCTCCATTTCAAATTATAAGTTGTTTTGGATTTTCAGGATATATAGCTTTTGTTATGCATATATACACTATGTCTAGATTTATAGTGAAATTTTTTTTCTCCATTTCAAATTATAAGATGTTTGGATTTTCTAGATTTATACCTTTTGTTATGAATTTTAGATATACATTATGTCTAGATACAAAGTAAGCAATACATCTAGAAACTCGAAACGTCTTATAATTTGGAATGAAGAGAGTATGTCTCTAGAAATTAAAAACCAAAACGACTTACGGTTTGGAATAAAGGGAGTAGTATAGTCTACATTCAGGCCCCGTTTGGCACAACTCCATAACCAGCTCTACTAAAGGATGAAATCGAGTCGGGTACATATGAATACCGGTGATCCTACATTCTATCCCATATCTTGTATTCTATCTCATATTTCTTTCACGGATCTCAGAACCGGATATGGATCATGTCAGATATCTCATATACATATCAGAAATCTAATTTTGAGTATTCAGATTCGAATACCGTACATATATTAAATATTTAGATTTAGATATGAACTATCCATATGGAGTTTTGACCCTTTGGGGACAGGCGAATATCGGGAAATATCCGTCCTGTTTCATCCCTGAAGTTATTTTGTGCTAAACGGGTAAAATGAAACACTGATGAGTTCTTTAAAACATACTCTCACATAGGATGGATGGAAGATGGAGCAGAAAATAGTAGCTTCTCACAGCTCTGACTAGCTCTGGTGAGCCCTGCACGGGGCTCTATGAGAGAGTATGTTTTAAGGAGCTCCACATGCCGAGTTGTTTTGCCAAACGGTTGTTCACCGAAATAGTTCTAGCTCCACTGGTAAAGCTAAAGTAAAAAAACGGCTTCACTAGTGAAGTAGAACCGTGCCAAATGAGGTCTCAATTAATAATTTTTTTGTGCTCTATTAATGAGGCAATTTTTCTGTATTTTTTAATCTCGTGACCTTTGAGCTAGATAGGCAGTTTTCATATTGTGAATTCTGATATGAAGTACAAGGCCATAGGATAGGAATGTGTGCACACTCACAGAAAATCCTACGTCTATATATATATTTCTCACCTTGTACGTCATCAACCTGCCGATGTGTTGGCGTACGTAGCCACCCCGGTGCTATGGGAACGTGTTAGTGGTAACCTGGATATGGACCGAGGGAAATATTGTCACTACCTATGTCACGTTCCACCCGATCGCTCGATCGAACTTGCCTTGGATAACTTAGGTGGTGTTTGATCACGGGTAAAAGGATTAAAGTTTTGCCCCTAAAGCTTAGCTCTGTTGAGCTGTTTAGATGTATGGGCTAAACTTTAGTCCTCTAATTTATAATGACTGATTTACTCTTATTTAATTATCCATGCACAACCATGCATGCGAGCGGCAAGAGGTATGGGGCGTCCAGCGCCCGCCCCGAGAGAGTTTAGCCCAATTTATGGCATCTTTGGGAGTAAAAGATTTTAGCCTAATTTTTAATCATTGCTCACTTTTAGTTTCCCTGTTTAGATCTCATGGCAAAAAAAACTAAAAGCGTACGGGCTAAAATTTTACCGTGGCATCGAACAGAGCCTTATAACTTCTATAAATCCACAGCCATCACGCGTGGTGGAGCATAGCAAAACTCGTGCTGAGCCAACAGCCAACACACAAGCACAAGACTAAAGTGCGTGACGCCGCGAGGGGTTAAGCCAGCAAGCAGCTAGCCATGGCAGTCGCAAACGCCGAGAACACGTCGCTGCTCCCGCTCGACGGCCGTGTCGCGCTCGTCACTGGCGGCTCCCGCGGCATCGGCCGCGAGGTGTCCTCCCACCTCGCCGCCCTCGGCGCGCGCGTCGTGATCAACTATGCATCTAATTCCGCTAGAGCAGACGAGCTCGTTGCGGAGCTCGCCTTCCGCGGTTACCAGTCCGTGGCCGTCCGCGTCGACGTGTCGGACCCGGACGCTGTGCACGCACTCTTCGACCACGCCGAGGAGCCGTTCGGGTCCCCGCCGCATATGGTGGTCTGCTGTGCAGGCGTCCTCAATGGCAAGTACCCAGCGCTCGCGGACACCGCCGTCGAGGACTTCAACGCCATGTTCGCGGTGAACGTGCGCGGGACGTTTCTCGTGTGCCGCGAGGCGGCGAACCGAATCCGAGCCAACAGCGGCGGCCGCATCGTGACGTTCTCGTCGTCCATTGTGGGCACGCTCCTGCCGGGATGCGCGGCATACACAGCGACTAACGCCGCCGTGGAGGCGATGACGAAGATCCTAGCCAAGGAGGTGGCGGCGAAGGGGGTGACCGCGAACGTGGTCGCGCCAGGGCCCGTGCGCACCGAGCTATTCTTGGCCGGGATGGACGAGGCACTCCTGCGGAGGGTGGAGCAGCACTCCATGGGGCGCATCGCCGAGACGACAGACGTGGCGCCGGTGGTGGCGTTCCTGGCCAGCAACGCCGTGGCTTGGGTGAACGGGCAGGTCATCAGGGTCAACGGCGGTTTCGTCTAATAAGGGTCTAAGTGCGGCAGGTGTTCAAATATAGTGCCATCTACCACACATAAAAGTTCTTTTTTAAAAAATAACGATACAATTAAGATGTCCGTAGGTTCGAACGCCTTGCTCCGCTCACTCCCGCACGCGTCATTCGTCCAGCAACCCTCTCCATTATCCGCTTGTCCGTTTCTAAAAAAATCACTCACGTATGTCTCGCTCCACTCCGCTCCCGCACGCAATGCTCGACTGCCAGCCCTACCAAGCACGGCTGCCACGTGGCCGCCTGCGAATCGCAGCGCACGGCTGCTGGCCCTGCCAGGCACGGTGCGCGGCTGCTACCTCCCAGCCGCGTCGCGCAGCCATTGCCGCCGTGCTGCTGCGTCCGACGAACTCCACATGCGGACGAGCCTCCATTCTCCCGAGCAACACGGAGATATTGCGATATGCTGAAAACGCATGTTGCAAACGTATGTTTCAAGTGTTTCGTATGTTTCAAGTGTTTCATATGTTTCAGAGATATGTTGCAAGTGTTTCAGGTTAATATTGCAAAGTAGATCAATTATTATTTTTTAGGCAAAGCAAGTACTTATTTTCAAGAGTTAAATGCACCAGAGATCCATTAACTTATGGGGATGTTTCAGTTAGGTCCATCAACTTTTAAAGTGGTTTTTTAGGTTCATAAACTTTAATGTTGTATCACTTAGATCCATATCCCTCCACATATGCTTCTCGTGTTGACGTGGCCTACTGACTTGTCCTTCTAAAGCAACTGTTGACGCTTCATTTCGTCGCTGTGGGCGCGCGAGCAGGTGCCGCCGCCGCCGCTGCGGGCGCGCGAACAAGCCCGCCGCGGCCACACTCTTGGCCGGCGCCAGGTGCGACGGCCCGCCGCTCCCCTACTCGCTCCCGCGCGCCATCCCGCTCGCGGCGCTGTCCTCTTCGCCCCCGGCCTCCCCCTCCGCCTCCTTGTCCCCGCTCCCCGTCGTTCGCCCGCTCACCCCGTCCTCACTCTGCTCCGCCATCCAAGCGCACGCCCACCCGGCGCCCCGCTCTGCCGCCCCCGCACCCGCTGCGGGAGGAGCTATGGTGGATTGGCGGCCCCGAGGCGCTGCCGCTGAAGCCCCGCCACCACCAGCCCGCGGTCACCTTCGCCGAGACCAGCGGCTCCCTCCTCCAGTCCTCTGACGACGAGGACGAGTATGAGGAGGAGGACGACGACGATGGTGCCGACGCAGGGGACGCCCGGCCCCACGCTGCTGCCGGCCAGTCGAGCGGCTCCCTCTCCCCCGCTCACTGGAGGGGCGGCAGGACCCGTGGCTGCTACAGGTGCGGGAAAGGAGGCGGCTTCTGGGGCCGCGACAAGGAGTCGTGCCTCGGCGGCGGCACGTCCGACGCGCTGACGGAGGCCGTGGTCGCCAACTTCCTCTGCCTCAGCGCACTCGAGGCTAACAAGCCCATCATCGGCGCGTCCGGCGCCGCGGCAGTTCCTCGTACACGCGTTCCAGTCCGCCGCGTGCTCCTCCACCGAGCAGGCGCGCCATGACGCGCTGCACAGCTGCCATGCTTCGAAGCATGCTTATTCACTTGGCCTCGTAAGTCGTAATACTATGTAAAAAATGAACTAATAATCTTGTACCGGAGGCTTGCCAGTCTCGACGGCGACGAGCTTCTCAAGCAGGAGCAACGGCAGCTGGTTCTCGAGCATGAGCATGTCGCGGCGGATGTATGGTACCATGTAGAGCACCCCATGGTGGCTGAAGATGGGGTCGTTGGGCGCGTAGTCGCTGACGTTATTCCTCCCGTCCTCCTCGGTGGCCTTCATCACCCCATGCTTCGAAGCAGCCGTCGACGATCATCATCTCCAGGAATCGCTCCCTCCCATCGGCGCCGCGCCACTCGTCGCCGAGGTCCAGGTACGCGCTCTCCAGCTGCTCCGCGACGTCCTCCACGGCGGCCGCGAACTCCTCCAGCGGCCGCTTGGCGCGCCGGAGCAGGTGCCGCAGCGCGCGTCGCTTGTGCTCCTCCATGGGCAGGAGCTCCCCGTCGCGGCCGTGGTGGAAGGAGCCCAGCGACACCACCTGCGACTTGTACGCCTTGCGGTTTAGGTCCTTGATGCACGCCGGCACGCGGTAGATGGAGTGGTGCTGCCACCGCGACACCTCCACCGACGCGCCGGCTTCGTCCAGCGTCTTCTCCACGTCCCCTCGCTCACTTGCTCTCGCGCCCACAGCTGGTGGCTGCCGGTCGGGCTCGCGCCGGCTCTGGTGGCTGTCGTGGGAGACGCCGCCCCCGTGACGGACCACGCGCTCGTCGTGCTCTGCAACCTCGTGGCGGCCTGCCCCGAGGGCCGCCGCGCGGTGAGCCACGCCCCCGACGCGGTGCCGTCCCTCGTCGACGTGCTCAACTGGGGCGACGAGCCCAGGTGCCAGGAGAAGGTGGCCTACGTGCTCATGGTCCTGGCGCACCGGAGCTACAGTGACCACGCGGCCATGGCCGAGGCTGCCGCCTTGTTCGCGCCGTAGGAGTGCAGGTGCCGCGGGGAGGAGTCGGTGGACGGGGGCAGCCGGCCACTCGCACGCCCGTGTGGCCACGGCAGCGGCAGCGGCACCTGCTTGCGGGCTCACAGCGTGTTTGACGAAACGAACGGTCAACAGTTGCTTCAGAACGACAAGTTAGCAGGCCACGTCAGCACGAGAAGCATACGTGGAGGAATATGAATCTAAGTGATACAACATTAAAGTTTATGGATTAAAAAATCACTTTGAAAATTGATGAACCTAACTGAAACATTCTCACAAGTTAATGGATCTCTGGTGCATTTAACTCTATTCCCAATATCCATTCAGTTAGCAGAAAGAAGGTACACCAGTCCGATGGTCAAGATAATGTGACAACAAAAGTGGAAAACCGATACATCGAAGGAAAGAAGTAACCACATTATTGTGAAGTTTCTAAACTGTTATGGCTATCAACATAATACACGCTGCAGCCATAACCAAGCTTTACTTTCCTTCGATAACAACTGAGAAAACACCTAACAGAGACATGAATGTGCATTGCCTAATTTGACCTACATTGAATATTTCTGGTATTGAATTAGACATTCTTAACAGCTGATTATGTAGAGATTTTTTTTTACCCCCAACTGCTTGATGGCAACCAGATTAAGGTCTACAGCCATCTCTCCCATGAATGATTCCCCTATTGGTCATTTTTTGCGGAACTAATTCCAATTAGGCCATTGGACTATCCATTGCATAAATTTATATTTGCTAAATCTTTAAAATTCACTGTAATTTCTGCATAAGATGTACCTCAACCAAACTGTGGAATCAGCCACTGGAAATAAGAGTTGTCCTAGGAATTATACACATGTTGTCTTGAAGATGCTGAAACTCCCTTCCTTTGTACCTGTACAATCGTAGATGAACCGTAAGAAGGAAGAGAAGGAAGCAAGCTAAAATTAGTCCTGAAAAACAAAAATGAAACAAGATCAGAAGAAGTAGCAAGCATGTAACCAATTTGCAGCACGCGTATAGGTAGCTAGGGTTTCGGCAACCAGAGGAGCACACGTTCCCCAGCGGGAGGAGGCGCTGAGGAGCCCGCGCGGAGGATGGGGGAGACGGAGGGGGCCGCCGGGCCCCACCCGCGCCAGCGCACCGCCCGCAGGGGGCGTCGCCGCGTCGTGAGTCGTGACCGCCGCCGCCTCGCGCCTGCCGCTGCCTCGGGCGGGAAGGGGAGAGAGAGGAAGGGGAGGGAGAAACGGAGGTGAGAGGTAGGCGAGGGAGGGCTGTGGAGGAGGAGGAGGAGGAGGCAGGTGCCGTTGTCGCAGCCCGCTCACGCCGTCGCCCTACCCACGTTGGAGAGAGACAGTGAGAGCGAAGAGGAGAGAGGAGGGAGCGAGAAGCTGGATGGAGAAGCGAAAGCTAGGATATATATTTGCTTCTCTAGATTCGGAAGAGAAGCGGGGGAAGCATAGGAGAAGTGGGAGAAGCCAAGGTGTCGGGGTTATGATACCCCGGGTATCTAGAGACACCGATTAGTTAGCCACTATGGAGGTCACGATACGCTAGCTAGTATAAGCCCGAACGACCGAGGCCCAACTTAGCCGTGCAATCCCGAACCAGCGTGGGCCCAACTACTATGGAGGGCATGGGTCGAATGCTGCGACAGGGAGTCGGCCATGACCTCTCCCTCTTCCCTCCACCACATGTCGCACGACGCCGCATGACATCGCACGACCTCTCTCTCTCTCTCTCGTCCCGACCCCTGGAAGGGGCGAGGAGGGGTCAAGCCTCACCAGGTACAACTGTCTAGACAAGGACAGGCACGCCTGCTCAGTCCACGAGGACCGAGGAGACAACCGTCTCGGAGTAGGCGCCATCCCTACACCACGCCGCAGACAAGAGAGGACCACCAGGCGGGGACTACAGATACGGTGAGCACCGTCCAGGTACGACGACGAGCGTACAATCCCACCCACTATGGGATGGGGCTCGCGGCTACGGCCTTGACTTTCAGGGGTACTACTTCCAAGTACGACGACGAGCTACCACTACTACTTCCAGGTACGACGACGGGCGTACAATCCCATCTAGGCCAACGTAGGCCACGACCCCGAAGCCCGAGATCATGGCCATTAGCTCCACGAGCAGCAATACAACCAACGACCTAAGGGCGGCTATCAATGACTGTACGACACCTTCGGGAGATCAGGAGGCGGTGACGAAGGCCACGACAAAGACCATGTCGCACAAGGCGCCTGGCGAACCACCACCGTGCCAACAGTGCCGCCACGGTCGGCACAGTAGCACTACGCCACCCCCATACCATGACGTGAGCGCAAGACCATGACGACAACCACGCGTCGGACATGCGCTACACCAAGATAAGATGGCCTTCCTTGCCGGCCAAGCTAGCTAGTTTCCCTCCCACGACCGCACGATCGGGGAGAACCTCCTTATGGCCTAGCTCCGGACTCTATATAAGGGCGGCAGAGAGCACCGATCCAAGGGGACGGACTCTCGAGACTTCATTCAGACAGTCCCTCTCCACTCTTCTACCTCTTTCACTCTTCTTGTAACCCCCATTGTAAGAACTTCAGAGCATTCAACTGAGGAACACGCACTCGATCTTCTCTGAGACTGGACGTAGGGCTCCGGCCTGAAATAGTATAATTCCTTGTGTCTTTTGAATGCTCCCATCGTCTTCTTGGAGCAGCGTGACATTCATACAAATTCACTAGTCGGTTGACAAAACACTAACACAAGGAGAAGCGAGAAACCGCTTTCGACAGAATCCGCTCCAAGCGATCTGGGCAGCACGATCGAAGATCTGACGGCTGAAAAAATTAGGGTGACGTGGACCCTGCTTCTCCTGCTGGAATCGGGCGGGTTTTGTAGGGGAGAATGTTACGTTGGCGCACAAAGGCCTATTCAAGTACCAAAAGGACAAGTTTTAGAATCTAAAAATAGTGTTTTGAGAGTTTATTAGGACATCTATAAAAATTCAAGATAATTTTGGAAGCTTAAAAATATTTTTAAAAGTTGAAGGCCCTTCGTGACAGCCTAATGCTCAAATAAACTTCAAACTACCTGACTCCTTCCTCCCACAAATGCTAGTTTTTTTTGCTATGGATATCCATATATATTAATGCATCCACGGTCCTTTGACTTATCAACATGTGCCACTTAAATTCACGAACTTTAAAAATATATTTTAGGTCTTTGAACTTGTTAATATAGGTGCACCGCAGATCCCTAAACTTGTTAATAAGTGCATAGCAAGTCCATTTATGGACTGTACCAACCAGTGTGGTGTACTCATTGACAAGTTTAGAGAGAAAAATACATTTTCAGGCGTTCATGTGTTTAACTATACATCTTATAATAAGGAAAATAAAATGAATATTTTGGACTCATTTGTTTTACACCCAATACATATACGTGCATATTCACCACTATAAAAGTAATTACACACATCCTACTTCTATAAATAATTACCTTTAAAGATTTCTTGTACGTATCTTACAAGCTCACCATAAGTATTGTGTCCAAAAGATGCAACTTAATTTTATAGTTTGATGACCTATCTGTACTTAGCATAAGACAAGTTCTTGTACAGTCGAAGTAATGTTTTATAGTAATAATGCGGAAGTCACTTTTTATAATTTGATTTGACATGAGAAGAGAGTAAGGGCCGTTTGGTTCCACGTGCAATTAATTTTATAATTAGCTCATGTTTAGTTCTTCTAAATTCTAATTAGCATTGGAACATCAGATGTGAGAGAGATTAAACTTTACTTACTAGATTTAAACACACTCCTAAACACAAAAGAAACGGAGAAGATATAAAAAAAAACGGTGCTGAAAGTGCATCTCGCATAGGGAGGGAAGGGGGCGGCAGTTGTTTCTGAACAGAGCAGAGCCAAACAGAATCCCTGACTTGTGAGTCTTGTCTTTGGGCTGGTGACGGACTGACGGCACAGAGGTAATGGAGGCCGCACCTACCACCATCACCGTCCAGGTCAAGTTCGCCGGGCGGACCATCCCCGTGGAGGTCCCGGCCGCGGCCTCCGGCGCGGAGCTGAAGCGCCTCCTCCAGCCGCTCACCAATGTCCTCCCGCGCGGCCAGAGGCTCATCTGCAAAGGCACCGATCCCCAAACCCTTGTTACCTCTTGAGTCCGCGGATTCGTTCCCATAGTAGCCAATCCTCACTCCCTCGTGGTCGCAGGCAAAGTGCTCCAGGATGCCGCAAGCCTGAGCTCGATGCAAGTTGTGGACGGATCCAAGGTCATGCTCATCGCGTCGCAGGGGCTTCATCAGGGGGTACGGCATCAGTGACCTCGATCTGTCCTAATTCCCCATATCTGTGCTGCTTTAGTCTTTCTGTTAGTTAGTTCAGATATTTAGCATTGAGTTTGTTGGAGTAGGATGTCCATGAGCGTGTCCATAAGTTCGATTTTTTACGGGTGAGCTGTGCTGGTACCTGTAAGTGCAGGGAGGAAAATTTCAGTTGCTCCTTGTTACTTGGCAAGTGTTCCATAGACAATAGGGTAACTTGCTTAATTTCACCATTGAATGTGGAGTGTTTACAGAATCTGCTTTCGTTGTCCACTCTTAAACAGGATGGTCCTATCACAAATAATAGCAGTAGCTCAGCAACAACTGTAAGAAGGCCTTCAAATGTTAAGGAGGATCAAACACAAAAACCAGAGGCAATTGTCACCAAAAGCCGATCTGAGCGCTGGAGGTTAACAGGTGTTGTTGCGCTGAATGATTGTGACTTGAAGGTATCTTATTCCGATTTGTTTGAATCACTTTTATGAAGGCCCTGTTGATGCATGCCGGCATAGGATAATTGTGATTTGAATTTGTGAAATTTACAAATCTACCCATGGCCAATGGAAGTGCTCTCAGCATATTGGTCATGAAGAAATACCATTATATGCTTTATTACCGCCTTTATTACAATTTGCAAACTCTCGTCCCATGGTTTTGGGGCAGTGCTGGTCCAGGCCGGCCACCCAATCGCATTCTTCAGCCGCGCCGTCGCTCCTCGCCATCGTGCACTGGCCGCCTACGAGCGTGAGCTCATCGGCCTTGTCCATGCGGTCCGGCACTGGCGACCGTACCTGTGGGGGCGCTCCTTCCTCGTCAAGACGGACCACTACAGCCTCAAGTATCTGCTTGATCAGCGGTTGGCGACGATTCCGCAGCACCATTGGGTGGGCAAGCTCTTGGGCTTCGACTTTACCGTCGAATATAAGCCTGGGACGACGAACGTGGTGGCGGACGCTTTATCCCGCCGCGACACTCTGGAGGAGGGCGCCATTCTGGCTCTCTCAGCGCCCCGGTTCGACTTCGTCGACCGTCTTCGCCACGACCAGCTAGCAGAACCGGCCATCGTCGCCATCCGAGATGACGTGCTGGCGGGCATACGCACAGCCCCTTGGGCTATTGTCGACGGTATGCTGCAGTACGCGGGCCGCTTGTACATTCCGCCGGCCTCCCCGTTGGTACATGAAATTTTGGAGGCCGTCCATGCTGAGGGCCATGAGGGAGTACAGCGCACGCTGCATCGACTACGCCGGGACTTCCATTTTCCTAATATGAAACAAGTTGTGCAGGATTTTGTCAGGGGATGCGCCACTTGTCAGCGCTATAAGTCCGAGCATTTGCACCCGGCGGGGCTGCTGCTTCCTCTGCCTGTGCCGCAGGGGGTCTGGACGGATGTGGCGCTTGATTTCATTGAAGCACTTCCTCGAGTTCGCGGCAAGTCGGTCATCCTGACCGTGGTGGATCGATTCAGCAAATACGGCCACTTCATCGCGCTGTCCCACCCCTACTCAGCTGAGTCCGTGGCACAGGCCTTCTTCGCCGACATCGTCCGTCTCCATGGGGTGCCTCAGTCCATGGTGTCCGACCGCGACCCAGTCTTCACCTCCAAGTTCTGGCGTGAGCTGATGCGGTTGATGGGCACCAAGCTGCACATGACATCGGCGTTCCACCCACAGTCCGACGGGCAGTCCGAGGCGGCCAACCGCGTCATCACCATGTACCTGCGCTGCCTCACTGGCGACCGGCCGCGCCAATGGCTTCAGTGGCTTCCGTGGGCGGAGTACGTCTTCAACACCGCCTACCAAAGCTCTCTCCAGGACACCCCGTTCCGGGTTGTATATGGGCGTGACCCTCCGTCGATCCGGTCTTATGAGCCGGGGGACACCAGGGTGGCGGCTGTGGCCCGCACCATCACCGACCGTGACGAGTTCTTGGCGGATGTGCGTCATCGCCTCGAACAGGCGCAGCAGGTCCAGAAGCACCACTACGACCGGACGCACCGCGACGTCTCCTACGCGGTGGGCGATTGGGTCCTTCTTCGCCTCCGACACCGCCCGGTCGCCTCCCTGCCCGCCTCTAGCACGGGCAAGTTGAAGCCTAGATACTACGGGTCGTATCGCATCACCGAGCTCATCAACAACGTCGCCGTTCGCCTCGACTTGCCCGCGGGAGCTCGCATTCACGATGTGTTCCATGTCGGTGTCCTCAAGAAGTTCCACGGGCCTCCACCAACGGCTCCTCCACCACTACCAGCCCTCCACCATGGTGCCGTGACTACAGAGCCTGCGCGTGCTGTCCGGACCCGCTTGGCCCGTGGTGTACGCCAAGTCTTGATCCAGTGGAAAGGCGAGACGGCTGCCTCCGCGACATGGGAAGATGTTGATGCGTTCCTCACCAAGTTTCCGACATTCCAGCTCGAGGACGAGCTGGCTCTCGAGGGGGGGAGAGATGTCATGTACGTTCACCAGTACGTGAGGCGCCATAGGGCTCGCGACATCCGTCGCGTGGCAGAGCGCGCCGCGCGCGTGGGAGTCCGGCTGGGCGACACAGGTGCCCAGGCTGCGGCCTCTGGCTGAGCACGCGTAGATAGATTGAGTCGGTTTTGGATAAAGATAGAAAGAGTCCAAGTTGGTTAGAGAATTTAGCTTCTAGTCGGTTAGCCTCCAAGGCTATTTATGCATGTACGTGAACTCTAGAAAAGGCAAGCAATATATCAGATTTCCCAAATACATCTCTCTCTCGAAATTCTCTCAAGCCTGCGGCAGGGGGCTCACCCTCGCCGGAGAAGACGGCCGACGGCTACGAACTCCGTAGCCGAGGTCCTGCCACCCTAGGGCACGACGCCCTTGACACAAACAGACCCTAGAAGAAAATGTCTAACACTAATTTTGCAAGGATCCTTTTGTAGATTTCTGGTCATGATTGACACAATGATCTGTACCCATAACTATATACTGAATTAGTTATGGCATCTCAGTTTGGTGCCTACAGTTTTATCACCAAACATTCGATGATATTGATTTGTTATCACTTGGTTATTGATTCGATGATATTGATTTGTTATCACTTGGTTATTTTCCTGTACCAAGTCCCTCTGAACAAAGTTAGACTTAATCGTTGTGGGTGTCTTTCTCTGTAGGTAGTGCCTGAAGAAGTCTGGGATTGTGGCCCCTCGATACGAATATTAGACATCAGCAACAACAGTATCAAGGAAATTCCACACAAAATCTCTGCTCTTAAATCTCTGAATGTAATTATTCTTTCCCACCGAGTGAATTGGGTTATTTTCTCCTTCCATAAGGAACTATAATTGTGCGTACATGACTTAATTTTATATTGCAGAAATTGCTCCTAACTGCCAATGATATAGCTGATGATAGCATCTGCTGGGAAGGTCTATCATGTCTTCAAAAGTTATTGAATTTATCTTTAAGCGAAAACCAGTATGTCCGATTCTGAAACTCTTGTCATGTTACTGTTATTCATAGGAGTACTATGAATACTCTGTGATGTTGCCAGTGGATATAACGCAATGTTTATAGCTATGTTCTCCAAAACTGTTTTTTGTTCTTTATATTCTCAAACTTTTGCTTTGACTCACCCACTGTGATATAGCAGGTAGGTATTGGCAAATCAACCAATAGCTGTCAGAAAGCTGAGCATGCCATATGTTGAAGTATAAGAGAGAATGCATGCTAAATCTTGGCTTCTAACTTCTTTAGTGTGTTGTAGAATCCTTCAGGCAGGAGATATATCTGAGTGGTTAGTCAGGTGCAGATTATTGTGCTAAACATGAACTCCCTCCATTCCAAATTGTGTATCTAGGTGCATAGCAAAAGCTATGTATCTAGAAAAGCCAAAACGACTTACAATTTGGAATGGAGGGAGTACATTAGTTCTCTGAAGATGTCCATATGTATTCATGATTTTTTTTTGGGTTAAATGGGATAGTTGAATTATCCTATTGAGCAACTAAACCTCATGGCCGCATTGTATTTCACTTATGTTTCTGTCAACACGTCGAATAGAAAATTTCGCAGTTGACTCCTGCCACCAAGATGCATGTAAAGTATCACATTGGTACAAAAAGGGGATATTTCATAGTTCTAATTAGAAAGAATACAATATCTCTTATCTTCTTAGTGTTATTGAGCATGATGACAGATAAGCATGTTTTGTTATACATGAAAATAAGATAATGTGATCATCCACTTTCTCCTTTATCTTGCAGACTGGTTAGCTTGCCATCAACTTTGGGATCGCTGACTTCTCTACGTGAACTACGTGTTGCAAATAACAGGCTTGATAACTTGCCTATAGAAATAGGACTGCTGAAGCACCTCCAGATACTCATAGCGAGTAACAATAGGTTTGTGCCAGAACTCTAATCATTCTTGGCTTGCAGTACCTTATTTGTTCTGTCATATTTTTACGTATTTATAGCTGATTTCTGATTTTGCACTCTTGTTTATTCTACATACTGGTAAAGGAATGCTTCAGATCAAGAGTGATGCGATGTTACTGATGTGTTCCCATTTGAGATTGACTGTTTGTCAATCATGTTGAGGGTTGAAAAGAACCATGTCTGGATGGTTTGATAGATTAATGTCTTACGAGTTAACATTGAGACTTGTCTGCTGACAGCTATAACTATATAGTGCTGATTCTATTTTTAATGCAACTTTATTATATTTATGTAACCCAAAGAGTACATTTGCAGCCTAGAAAAAGTCAAAGACCTTAGTCAGTTTCTGTTTTCTAGTGCACTTCATAGTCAGTAATGTGCAAACACTAGTAGGTTGTTACTAGTTCTATTCTATCATAGAAAAAAGATGTTATTGGGAGAAGAAATGCCTTTTCTGTTACTTCTTATGAAAACTATACTAGTACGGAATTAAAACTTAAATGTTATGGTGAATGTCACATTTGACTCGTTTACACTTGTTGGCAGGATAACTTCATTGCCTTCGTCAATAGGAGATTGTGAATCTCTCACTGAGGTGTGTTGTCTCTCATATATGACCTGCTTCTGCCTCATATATTCTTGTAGAGCACTCTATATTGAACCTGATTTTTGAATTTTTCAGGTTGATCTGTCATCAAATCTCTTAACTGAACTGCCAGAGGCCTTTGGGAACCTTTGTAATCTTAAGGTGTGTGCTTTTAGATGCATGAAAGGTGCATTTGTAACAAAAACATAAAATTACTAAGATGATATATGTATCATCACTTACAGCAAATGAAGTGCTGAATTAGCATATTGTGTTATCTTAATTTGTTAAAATTCCAAATGTGTCATTGTGAGATAGCAATGATTTTCACAATATGGATGATACCACAAAATATTCATTGTCCAATTGCAAGTATGTTCACATAGAAGTTGTATAAATGAGCACCAAGTTATTAGTCCAGTGCATAGCAGCAGAACTACAAGATGTATGAGATTTAATAGTGTGCAACAAAACTTGTGCATGCAGTTTGTGGCCTTATGAAAGCGGAGTTATTTTCTTTGTTTCTCAGTATATCATGCATGGAACTTTGGGTTTATGACCTGGGACAGTCACGAAGAGTCAATTGTTCTTGAATACTATTATTTCATTAACACCTATTAGTAGACCACAGTTTAACTTGATGAAACTTTTGTACCATGCTGCTTCTGGCTCTTCTACAATATCAGTTGAGGGTAATATTTATTTGTGTCCTTTTTTGCTACAGATTTTTTTTTCATTTACAGTTGCACATTAGCGACCAGTGTGTAACATTCTTTATATGAAACAAATTTATTCAACAGCTTTTGCATGTAAGGAACATATCTACCAGTGTTTAACATTCTTTATATGAAACAAATTTATTCAACAGGTTTTGCATATAAGGAACAATGGCCTGACGTCCTTGCCAGCAACATTATTCAAAAAGTGCTCGCAGCTTATTACACTCGATCTCCATGGCACAGAAATCACAAATGATGTTCTTCGACAGGTACCATTTCCTTAAGAGTCTGCCTACCTGCCCGTGCATGTTCATATTTTCCCTTCACACAGTATATTGATACTACTTTGTTACCTTCATTGCCGCATTGCGATCTGCTTTGTATGGTCACACCCTATATTTTAGTGACTATGTTATCCTAAGGTGGCGTTTGGTTCGTGGGATAAGGAGGATGGGAAAGGGATATCATAACCCAATGACCTCATAACCCATGTTTGGTTTTATGGATTGGGAAATACAGTGGGTTTGGGTTTGGGAAACTAGAGCCTCGTATCCCACCAAAACTATCCCGCTGGGAGGGGTGGGTTACGAACGGGATACGGCACCTGCGTCGTCTTCCTTGTTGTTGGGAGCGGTGCGGCACGCGCGGGCTCAAGCTAGGGAGGGAGCTTGAAGGCGAGGTGGAGCAGAGAACCGTCGCTTCGCGTTGCACCGCCTCCATCTGCTCCGCCGGCCGTAGCTGCCTCGCCAAGCGCTAGACACCGCCGCCGCCGTCTCGTGGAGCCTCGCATGCGGCGACCTTCGGAGGCATGGAAACAGCGCACGCGCCGGTGGCCGCAGCTACGGAAGAGCCGCTCGCCTCTCATGCGCCGCCCGTGTGGGGGTGAGCCGTCGGCAGGGAGCTGCTAGCACTGTGTGCCTTCATGATTGGATCTGACGAAGCTGGATGCCTGGAACTGAGCGCAGCTATCTCACGAGGAAGAAGAACGACTTTTTTCTGTTTTTTTTTATTTTGTGGGCCCCACCTCATAACTCATCCCAATCCAAGATAAAGCCAAACGTGGGAAATGGATACGATCTGGTATCCTCATCCCTAACTCACACCATCTTTTCTATCCTCATAACCCAAACCCATTCCCCATGGCTAATCAAACTCCACCTAAACGCTAAACGGTAAATAGTCGGTCACCCTTCATTTAGTGTTTAGGCCGTTTAGACAGTGTTTAAACGGAGTTAAATGGTCAAAACGGTTTTACATAATATTGCCAAAATTTATAATTTATTGATATAAAATCAATTATTCTAGCATTTATACATTTTTATGTAAGTTAAAATGAATTATTTTAGTATGTATATATATTTATGCATGTAAAAAGAATCTAATATATATATTTGAAATCAAGTATACATATTTATAAATATAATAAACTTAAGTATACAAATTTATGCATGTAAAACTCAACTGGATTAATCTAGTGTTCGCTTAAACAACTATTTAAACAGTCTTTTAGGCCGTTTAAAACTGTTTACCTCCATTTTTTAGGGCATTTAGACCATTTACTCCCTTTTTTTGACCATCTAAATGATCAACCGTTTAATTTCCATTTACCTCCTAAACAAAACAGCTTGCCACTGTTTACCGTTTAGCGGCCGTTTAAACAGTTTAGGCCGTTTAGGCGAACACTAAATATCATCATTTGTTAGCGGTGGCCTAGTAGAGATGCAAATTTTATATATTTATTTATTTTAGACAAGTACAGCACTTGCGTATAGCTGACTAATTTGGCTGCGTAAGTTTTGGCCTTGGGCTCTGATAAGGCACTTTCCAGTGGCATTCTCAATTTAACCTGTTCCAATTCCCAAACAGGTGGAGGGGTGGGAGGAGTTTGACGAGCGGCGGAGGCAGAAACATCAGAAGCAGCTTGACTTCCGTGTCGGCTCATCTGGTGTGTTTGACGAAGGCGCGGATGATGATAACAGGCGAAGGTGATTGATTGCATGCCTGTTTTGAGCATAATCGTTTGCTATGACATTTCTCCCAAACAACCGTAGAAGTGTGCAACTGAGAACTGAAGATCATTTTTATGGAGCATGAGATCAACTTTTTTACTCAGTCACATAGATAGACGTGTTGAGAAATACATGGCACTGCTGAATATTTGTAACATGGTACTATGGAACCAGACTTGACAAAAATACCCTGAATGACACATACTGTTACTGTTACTGTCAACACATGTACCTACATCCTTGGAAAAACCCGTGGCAGACAACGAGATAAACACCGTCAGTTTTCAGCGGGCGGCGCACTCACGCGACGCCCCCATTGACCCTGATAACCTGGCCGTTCACCCAGGACGAGGCCTTGCTCGCCAGGAACGTCACCACGGGCGCGATCTCTGTCGTCTCGGTTATACGCCCTATGGTTTTTTTCACCCTCTCGAGGAACGCCTCATCCTTCCCGGCAAAGAAAAGCTCCGTGTTCACCGGGCCCGGCGCCACCACGTTGGCCGCGATCCCCTTGGCCGCCACCTCCTTGGCCAGGATCCTCGTCATCGCCTCCACAGCGGCGTTGGACGCCGTGTACGCCGCGTAACCCGGTGGCAGCACGGCGACCGTCGACGACGAGAACGTCACGATGCGTCCACCGCTGTTGGGAGGGATGCGCCGGGCGGCCTCCCGTCCCACCAGGAACTTGCCGCGCGTGTTCACCGCGAACGTGGCGTCGAAGTCCTCGACGGCGGTGTCGGCCAGCGCGGGGTACTCGGCGTCCATGATGCCCGCGCAGGCTACCACTATGTGGGGCGGGGACCCGAAGGCCTCCTCGGCGCGGTCGAAGAGCGCGCGCACGGCGGCCGGGTCGGAGACGTCCGCGCGGACGGCCGCGGCGCGGAGACCGCGCGAGGCGAGCTCTGCGACGAGCTCCTCGGCCTTGGCCGGGTTGGAGGCGTAGTTGACCACGACGCGTGCGCCGAGCGCGGCGAGGTGGGAGGACACCTCGCGGCCGATGCCCCGGGAGCCGCCGGTGACGAGCGCGACGCGGCCGTCGAGTGGCAGCGTGGTGGACTCTGCTGCCATGGCTAGCTGCTCACTGACTTGTTGCCGTCGGCACAGTCGGTGAGATGGCGAGCACGGCAGCACGCTGTGGAGCTGTGGTTTGCTTGCTTGTGTGCGGTTTGTCCGTGTCGTGTGTGTCTACTGTACGCGAGTTCTGCGGACTGGCACGGGCCCTACTTTATACGGAGCCTTTTGGGACAAATCTTAGGGGTCAAATCTTGTACACTGTAATGAGAAATTAGAATAAGGGATGAAATTGGGAACTTGAAAATTAGAAATTTGGAATTAAATTAGTTTGAGATCCAAACCTAACAAGGGAAGCTTGTTCAGTTACTCTGCTACTTTGCAACTCTCTGCAAGGAAGGGGCGGTCAACCAAAGAACGGGTGGGCAGCCGGGCTTCGGGTGAGGAAGGAGCCGCTGGCGCGCGACGCCTGTGGGAGCAGAGACAGAGAGAGGGGCGACGGCGAGGCCGTGGAGCCGGAGCGCAGAGGTGGAGCGGAGGGCCGGTGGGCGCAGGAGGCGGAGGTGGAGTGGAGGGGCGGTGGTCGAGTCTCACGACGACGCGAGGAGCGAGCACGCTGAGCGGCTCTCTGTCTCTGACTCACCTGGGCTGCTTGTGTTGCGCTGCGATGGGCCAAGAAACTGAAGATCTGCTCCCTTGTTACATGGGGCCACGACTAAGGCCATGGCCTAGGCTACCCTAGTGCTGGGTCCGCCCATGATTATGAAAGATGCTCTATTCCTACGAGCCACTAAAAAGTTTACACGGACCCTGGTGCCATGACGCTAAACTCTTTTGTCCAACACGCCATTCCATCTCCATTCTGTTTAGTTTTGACCATTTGGTAGCTCTTACATGTGGGACCGGGCAGGAAAAATGTCCATGTTGCCCTTTCAGTCACGGACATATGTGGAGGCTGTGTTGACCGATATTGACCGACATCTCCCTCAGTCTCTCACTCTCTCTTCTCGCTCGACTCCCTCAGTTCCCTAACCCTAGCGGCGAAGAAACCCTAGCGGTGGTGGAGGCTGTAGCGGCGGCTGGGAGAGAATACGACGAATCCCTGGTGCTTGTGGCGACGAATGGGGTAGTGGAGCGTGGATTCGACCGTGGATCCAGAGGATAGGCGTGGCATGGCGGGGAACAAGGATGTGGGCGAGCGACCGGATTGGCTTTCGGACGAGTGAGTTGACTGCTTCCCCCCTTGGTTTTCGTGGTGCCCCGTGTTTATAGTGTTGATTGGTATTTAGTGCCCTTCATTTGTGCCCCGTGTTTGTTAGTGTTGATTGCGTGCTCCTTGTTCATCTGTAGGATGGACGTAGAAAGTAGCTACAACTTAGAAATCCGGATTGTTGCTCTCAATTCTCGTGCGCGGTGGTTTTCGTTAAACAAAGTCATGGATGCTGACCGCACTAACTTCACAGACCTAGTTGCTGAAGTTGTCGACAAGTATCCTCATAACTACGGTGACATAGTGAGATTGTTTTATTTATGCATGGATAGTAAAGTAAACATCCAAGTCTGCACTGACCAAGATTTAGTTGAAATGTTTGCAAAACATAAGGCTTCCAAATGCTGCTTGTTGACTGTTGCATATCATAGCCCAAGTAGTGAGCCCCTTGTGATTCCTTATTAGGATTCTGGTAGCACTGTGAACTCTATTGAACCCCCCATTCACCCCTTCAATTGCTTGTCTAAGCTTAGCAGAGCCAAGCCATGCCACACACACTCAATTTGTTGAACCTGAATACCTGACTAACCCAAACCCAATGAATGAGCATGTGGGTGTTGATGAGGAAGGATTGTATATTGACCTTGGTCCTCAATACCCCCCACCTCCTCCCAATCCTTAGAGCCAAGGTGGGACTAAAGAATGGGAAGGTGAGAGTTCTGGTGCTGATGAATCCTTTAAGACAGACTCTGATGATGAATCCTCTAATGATGAAGTAGAAGACATAGATGATATGGTTAAAGATAGGGAGCCTGAACATATGTCTGATGTTGATTATGACAAGAAGGACCCTCTTATGTCAGTAGGAACAATGTATTCAGACATGGATGCTTTTAAGATTGCTTTAGCTACTCATACTGTTAAACATGAGTTCAACTATGACATTGAGAAGAGTAATATAGGGAGGTATAGGGTGAACTGCTCACAGCAGAGTGAAGGCTGTAGATGGAGACTTCATGCCTCAACTCTAAGGGATGGGCACACTATTAAGATAATATGTTAGTACATTGTTTTCATTGACTACTCCCTATTTTTCTTACATTGTGTGGCTTGTAATAAGTGCATTACTTGACTGTTTTGTAGGTGAAAAGGAACCCCTACCCTCATGAGTGTCAGAGCACTAGGAGGCAAGGAATATGTGTAGGGGTAACACAGTTCTAGGTGTGCAGTTAGGTAATTGATTGGCTGAAGGAAGATGGAACTCTAGGTGCAACAAAAGTGCAAAGGAGGTTGAAGGATGCACACATTACTTCAATTCCATGCAAGCATGCAATAGCCTACATTACTTCAATTCCTAGTGAAAAACTGGAAGACCATGTGGATGATTACTTCTCTGTCAACAAATTCAGAGCTGCATATGAGGGTTCCATCCCTTGTATTCCTAACAAAAGCATGTGGCCCAAAGCTACTCATGGCTTTTTCATGCACCCTCTCTATCTTAGGTCCACAGGAGGTAGAAGGAAGAATAGGATGAAATCATCACTTGAGGGAGGTAGTAGCAAGAAGAGGGTAAAGAAACATGAGTGCCCTATCTGCCATGAGTTAGGACATCACTAGTACACTTGCAAGAATGGGAATCCAGAAGATATAGCTGCAATGGAGGCTGAAAGGTAAACTATGTAACTAAATTACTTTGTAGATACATGTACAACTTTAATAACTTAGTTAACTAATGTAACTTTTTCTATGCAGGGGTCTTCCAAGAAAATGCTGAGAAAAGCAGCAAGGTGTAACACAGAGACTAGCATTGTGGTTGCTACTCCATCCTAGATGGTGTTCCCACACAATGAAGCAGTGATCAATGCTACACACAAGAAAAGGAAAAGAAAATCTTCTTCTTCTTCTGGTGCCAAGAAGAGCAAGGGGGCAGCTACCACTACTACTTCAAGCTCAGGTCCAAACAATGTGTCTAACAGGTATGTTTACCAGCTCTTTAATTGATCACAACACTTCTATTATAACTGTTAATGCTAAAGCACACTCTGTCTTTTTGCCACATGGTCTAGAACTAGTTCCAATTACCCAGTTCAATCCAAACTATGCACCTGGCCCCTTTCCATGAACACTCCATTACAATAGAGACAGAGCCACTAGAGACTGTGTTGCCCTAGGCTTCACCAAGGAGAAAGATAGGGATCAAGAAGAAGCTTACACCAAAGAAGCTCCAAGTTGCAGCAGCCAGCCCATCTAGCCTAGCAGTCCTGCTTCAAATACCAGAAGCAAGAAGAAGCTCCAGCTGCAGTGAAAGGTGCCTGCTTAATGTTCTTTTGGTGATGTGGTTCTGGAAAAACACTTGCTATGTGATGGCACGACTGTTCTTTTGCTCTATGATGAATGTTCTGTGATGGCATGACAGTACTTAGTTGTAGATGAAAACCAATAACTTAGCTGCTATGTGATGAATGTTGGTGACATATTGGTGCCATGAAACCTTTGTGATGAAAAACAGTAAGGTAGCTACTGTTATGTGATGAATGTTTGTTTACTGTTGCAGTACTCTAATTGTTGTTATATTGTTCTCATATGTTGTTGCATTCTGGACAAATGAACAATCTTCATATTCATCATTCAACATTGATTGATTCATTCATCCATCCATTTATACATGACTACTCACACACACATAGACACCTACTTCAAAATAGCATACAAAGCAAGAAATATGCAAACATAGACCATCTTCTCAATCCACCTAAGCTGCTGTAGAACCCTATTGTCAATCCTATTCTCCACTTGTGCAACTCTAGCAGCCTAGGAACCTTCTTGGATGATGGCCAAAGGAGCTACAGTAGGGAAACCACTAGGTGGTGCCACTGCCTACAGGGGAATTGGCTGTAGTGGAGTAGGGGCTGTAGGTGTCTACACTTTAGTGTCCTCCATTTCATCCTCCCACTGATAATACTGACAGCCTCCAATCTGAAACCCAAAGCATCAACACATTGTCACCAAACAACAAAAAAGAAATAGGTAAAGGAAAAAATGAGCAGAGAAGGAAACACAAACTGCAAAATAGGGACACTTGTGAAAGGCACGGTTGTTGTTCTTCCTGGTCATTGAGATGAACCGATTGGCAAGCACATGATAGTTGGTGCAAATCATCCGCTTGACCATACCACCATAGCTGCTAGAAGCTTGAGACATGGCTGTGGCAGGAGAGAGGTGAAGGAGATAGAGCTCAAGTTGGATGAGTGGCAACAGATAGGGCTGAGGACCTATATATAGGAGGAGAAGCCCAGGGGCTCAGTTGGCGCCAACAACCCTGGCTTTGGCGCCAAAACACTCGGCCTAGGGCTGGCCTGGGAATGGCACAGAAGCAAACCAACTAGTTCACAGAGCTGCTCAAGCCTAAGGGCATCTAAGTCATTTGGCTGCGCCGTTACCCACCGTTAGGAGCAAAACTGGACGGAATAGCGTGTTGGACAAAAGAGTTTAACGTCATGGCACCAGGGTCTGTGTAAACTTTTTGGTGACATGTAGAAATAGAGCATCTTTCATAATGGCACACAGGGAAAAGGCTCTTTATATAGGTTGTCGCATGTGCTCGGATGTCATGGCTCTCGTCAGAAGCGGTTTGGCAACTTGGCAATTGACCAGTTTCGGTAGGTCGAGGCTGGAAGCCCCTTTTTTCTAAATAATAAAGACAATGACATGGGGAGTGATGGACTGGTGGTGGCACGGTTAACTCGGATCGGTCCCGTGATATCCACCTGCACTCGATTTTTTTCTACACCTAGAAAATCTATAGTTATAAATCTTCAATTTAATTAATTATTAGCAAACATAACTGTGTATCACAACGGAACGTGCAATTTGTTGTGTAGCGTTTGTGTCAATGGTAATGAGCTAGTTATTTTTTGTTGAATTTAATTAGACTTATTCTAACTTTAAACCAAATAGATTTCATGGCTCATACTAAATGCTAGTGAAATAAAAAATTTAATTTTGTATGAGAAATTGATAGAATATCGACTTGACTTAAATAGATGACTATTGTTTACACATATGAGTTTTTAAGAGAGGTGAAAGGAGAGCAACACACTCACATGTGCGCCGCGACACGAATAGGATGAGATAGCCGAACCATGACATGAGTGACGTGGCACAAACGAAGGTTTTGTAACTCTAAATTCAATCCAAGAATGTTGAGAGTGAGGGATGATAGAGCGAAGGATGTTGGTGCTTATTTGATGCATGAGTTCCTACGCCAACACAACTTTCCTTCCATGATAGCTCTCCAGACGTGAGACGGGGACATTCAACATCAAGAAAATATCTCTAGGAAATATCAAGCTTTGGCATATTCGATGTATGAATCCCTGCACCAACACAACTCTCCTTCCATCATAACACTCCATATGTGAGACGGGGAAACCAACATCAAGAAAATCTCTCTCTGGGAAATACCGAGAGTAGAAAATGCTTCATGAACTTGACAAAGACCGAGTTTGCAAGGTTTGTCTTGCTCTATTTTACTCTCTAACTCAAATATCTCAACCCAACATTTTGATTTCTCAACTAAAGCTCAATCTCATAAAGAGAGGGTTGAGAAGTGCCTCACAAAGCTTAGGATAGAGATCTCATCCACCGCAAAGTCAGCAACACACTTATGAGGCGTGGGATGGGTATACCCACCTCCCAAAAAACTAGGTGTTAGAACTCTAAAACTAGTCATTAGGCCCACAGAGTGCAGAACTTTCGCACTTGCGCGAAAAAACCTTCACAACTGTCTAGAATAGCATAGGTCACCTCACAAAAAGACAACATAATTTTTAGCTGTAAACTCCGATTTCGATGATCTTGAACCTTTTAGAAAGATTGTTTAGAGGGCTATCCTTCCCAACTAAGAACAAGCATCAAGATCAACAAGTACAAGTGTTGTGCCATATGTTTCTCTCATGTTAGCACTTAGAGTTCAGCTAGTTTGAGCACTTGAGACTTATCATAGCTCGATTAGTACGTTGACTCAATGCAAGTACCCTCTTATTCACCTTAGCCATGGTCCCTTGGTCACCAAGCCATTGCTAGTTCTTCACCTTCGCCTAGTCTCTCGAAGCTCTTTCTTTGCTATATTCACCCTATAGAGCCACCCTCAGGTCGCATCATATCTTGAATCAACATTAAGCATTATTTAGAAGCCTCATATCAACATTATCCATATCCAAGTCATATTCCAAATATGGTCAAGCCAATTCATGATTCCTTATATCCTCTTTGTTTTGGCTTGACACCCTTAATACTCATTTCAATAACTATTTTCATAATAGCATTGCTCTTGATAATTTCCTTCTTTATTCTTCCAACTTGATCAATTTCAATGCATAGTGATTTTCCAAGTCTTTGTCCATACAAGCAAGCCAATATTAACACCATCTTATATTCATTATATAATGTCTCCTTTGTCATTTTACATTCGCTTGTCATTTCTTTGCTTATCCACTCCTGACTCATTCTCTAATACTTGATCAATACTCATCCACTATCAATCTCTTCTTGTTCATGCAAAGCAAATCATTATTGAGACCAAACCATGTTCATTTCTCTGTCTTTTTTTGGCTTATTAGATATGCTTGCTTCTTATCCATTTAAGATATGACATGAGTTTGATATGATTGTTAGTAGTGAAACCTGTTTAGAGACTCATCGAACTCATTAGTTCTTTAATTATTTTGTCATTCAACCACCAAAACCCACTAGGGGACCCAGATGTACTCTCAATGTCAAACTTTGCAGATTTTATCTTGTGGTATTCATTATTGTCTTCATCTCTAGCTTCCTTCTCCCATAAAAAATCACACCTCGTCCCATCCACGCCACCTGTGGCCACCTCCAGTCGCTCTACCAGCAGTCTGGCCTCCATGCGTTTCTCATGGCCTCGGCTACCCTTGTTGTCCACATGATCAGAGATGGTACTACAGACGATAGGTGTACTCGGGCACCATGTGTCTTCATTCGCTAGCACCCACAAACCAAATTGCAGATCCTTCAACACAAATTCTCTCATGCTACATTCCAGAAGCACATGCCTAATCTTTTCACAGTTAGCGCAGAAGCACGACATCTTCACATACATCACTTGCATCCGCTAGAAATCGCCCTTCATGGTACTCATTGCCTTCATCTCCACACTCAACACCTCCCCAACCCTACTCATTAACTGCTTTAGGATCATTTTAGTGCGGTACACAGGGATCTTGTGGATTTTGATCCACACCAGAACATGATTTGGTACCATAGTAGCGCTACACATTGCTCCATTGTATTCCTCTAACATCAATGCGCAACCACGTAAGATCCATGGCCATTCCTCCATTATATGTTTCTAATCTCCTAAGCAAGTTGTCTATGCTATGAACAAGTTCTTTCCCAAAGGGCGAATGGAGAACTCCCGTGTTGTATTCCAACCAACTATCATCATGTAGAATAAGATCCGAAAGCCTTCTCAGTAAGCAATCTCGCCACCATCGACTTCACCTCCAACAGACTTTACCATTCTTCCTTCGCCAACACTATGCCATCTCTTTTCGCTCAATGAGATGCATGTTGTGGAACAAACTGTCCACATCAACATCCTTTCTCTTCAATCTCAAACTTGGTGATTCTGCTACCATCTTCACCATGATCACATCTGGTCGCACACACAAACCCTAACTGCTCCCACCAAGGCCTCAGCCCTGAGCATGGAACAATTCGAGGACTGTAGCACGTGAGGCAGAGGTCTAGAGAAACTAAGTCTCGCCATTATAGCACAAAATAGTCCAGGGATTGCAGCATGTGAGCAGTGCTAAGAGCGAGTATAATAATAGGCTGTAAGCTGGCTAAATGCTGAGGTGGAGGAGAGAAGGAAGGAGAGAGAGAAGCAGATTGTAAGCCAGGGCACAAGAACCAAAAAACTCTATGAAAGAGATAAGTTGACCATGTATTAAAAGTGAAGAGCTCACTACTATATAGGTGGGCTGAGAGAAGGTTGCAAAGAACCTTGCCAGCAAGGCGACTATATTATTAGCCTTGCTCTAAGGTGGTGCAATAGAAAAGTTCCAGGGATAACCCAGGCCCAACGCGTCAAACCCCGAAGAACAGACCGAAACCCATGGGCCGCAATCCGCAACAGTCAACAGGCCGGCCGGCCGACCGACAAATGTTGCAACTCCGTTAAGCTACCGCTGCCGGCGGCCGCGTGCCCAGTAAATAAAAACAAGGAAAAAACAACGGAGTGGCTTCCACGGTCCACGGCCCCTGGCTCGCGTCCTGTCTCGCCTTGTCGGCGTTCGCCCCCATCCAGCCAGATCCCTCGTCCGCCTCACTCCCATTCCCCTACTACACTCCCAAGTCCCAATCCGAACCCAGATCCGCGCGAATGCTGGGGCGGGCGGCGGCACTGTCCGCGCCGCGGTGGCGCGGCGGGGTACCGGACCTGCGCGCCGCGCTGCGGTCGGGGGGCAACCTCCTCTTCGCGCTCTTCGTGGCGGCCGTGCTCGCATTCACGCTCCTCGCGGCGGTCCACAGCCCCGACGATCCGCTCCTCCACCCGTCCTCGCACCAGCTCACCGATTTCCTCACCTCCTCCACATCCACCTCCACCTTCCTCACCGACGACTCCGTGCTGCGCACCGGGGAGGACTTCAACTCCTCGTCCACCGGCGCCGCCGGCGAGGCCGCCGCTGGGGGTGTCGAAGTCGTTGCGGAGGCCGTCCCGTTCATCAAGCTCTCCGAAGTTGGCGCCGAGGCCGAGAAGACGGAGCCCGAGACGGAGCGGGCCGTCACCGTCGACACTGATGCCGCCACGGGCGAGGGTGCGGCGGTGGCGGAGGAAACCGCCGTTGCGGAGGCGGTTTCCTGCGACACGGAGGCGCCCGTGGACTGCACGGGGGACAGGGAACTCTTCAACCTGCTCATGCGCGCGGCCATCGAGCGGTTCCCCGACCTCCACTTCTACCGCTTCGGCCGTCCGGTGGCGGTGTCGGGGAGTCCCATGGAGTGTGACCTCGCCTGGCGCTTCCGCCCCGCTGCCGACGCCATCGGCACCGGCCGGACCACATACTACAAGGACTACCGCCGGTTCACGCTCACCCGCGACGTCAACACCTGCACCCTCGTCGTCGACTCCGTGGGTGAGTACCACTCGGGTGTGGGTGCCAAGCGCAACGGACGGCGCAAGGGGAAGAAAGGGAAGAAGGGGAAGCAGGATGCACCAGTGACCGACTTCGTGCCTGCGAAGACACAGGTTAGGCTGGACGAGAACACTGCCAACAATGAGGCTGCTGGGGCCACAGCGGAGCCGGTGTTTGTTGTCGGTGAGGCTGTCAATGACAGCTTGCCAGTGGTTGCTTCTGAGTCCGATTTCAGCCGTGGAAAGTACCTCATTTACATTGGTGGTGGCGAGAGGTGCAAGAGCATGAACCATTTCATTTGGGGGTTCTTGTGTGCGCTTGGTGAGGCACAGTTCTTGAACCGGACTCTTGTCATGGACTTGAATGTCTGCCTCAATGCACGGTATACTTCGAGTGGCAAGGATGAAGACAGAGATTTCAGGCTCTACTTTGATTTTGAGCATTTAAAGGAATCGGCATCGGTGATCGACCAGAGCCAGTTCTGGCAAGATTGGGGAAAGTGGCACAAGAAAGATAGGCTCAAAAACTTCTACACTGAAGACATCAGGATGACCCCAATGAAACTTCGTGACGTCAAGGACACACTGATCATGAGGAAGTTTGGGAGTGTCGAGCCTGATAACTATTGGTCACGTGTGTGCGAGGGTGAGACTGAGGGAGTAATCAAGCGCCCTTGGCATTTCCTCTGGAAATCTCGTCGCTTGATGGAGATTGTATCTGCCATTGCCTCACGGATGAACTGGGACTTTGACTCGGTCCATGTTGTCAGAGGGGAGAAAGCTCAGAACACACAACTTTGGCCAAACCTTGATAGAGATACCTCGCCAGACAGTATTCTTGTGTCACTTAACGATAAGGTTGGTGCTGGCCGGTATTTGTACATTGCTACCAATGAGCCTGACAAATCGTTCTTTGACCCACTTAAGGAAAAGTATAAAACACACTTCCTCAATGATTTCAAGTACCTGTGGGATGAGAATAGTGAGTGGTTCACTGAAACTAAGGAGCTGAGCAATGGTAAGCCAGTAGAATTTGATGGTTACATGAGGGTTGCTGTTGACACCGAGGTATTCCTGAGGGGGAAGAGGCATGTGGAGACGTTCAACGAGCTTACGCGTGATTGCAAGGATGGCGTGAATACATGCCCAGCTTCTTCCTGAACATTTGGTGTGCTAAGGTGAGCTGATACTATGAAATATTATGCTTCAGAGGATATTTTCCACTGTGTTGTTGGCGTCTCTTATGCCACCACTAGCCTTGTTGTAGCTAAGTAGACGGTATCACTTTTTGTTATACCACTGTTTTGTGTTTCCAGATTTACATTAGTACATTCAGTTCATGCATTGGGCTTGTGCTGAAACAATTAGATGAACATGCATTATTGCAGCTGTCTTTTGTATCTCTTCTATATAGCTCATTGGTTTTTGCCACCACGACCGGTGTTACTCTCCATTCTCTATTCTATGAATTGTGTGTTTTCTTCACATTTGTTGTCTTTGACAAACATAAATTCAGTTCAATCAATCTAACATGAACATCAATATTCTGTACACCTGGTTTGGAAACACTTGGTATTCGATAATCATGTGAGGATCGGTACCAGCATTTTTAGATAATGAGACTCATACCAGTTAAGTTCATGTGATGGCTTACCCTTTCCTTTTAGGTGAGTGAAAAAAATGTTAATTTGTTTAAGGAAAAAGTCTACATAACCCCCCAACTATTTAGGGTGGACTACTTCACCCCCAAACTATAAAACCAGATTTTCTACCCCTTGAACTTTCCAAAACTGGTCAAATAACCCCCCAAGCGGTTTTGGACAGTGGTTTTGCTATAGTGATGGTGGTTTTGTCTTTTCCTTTTTTATTTATTTCCGCTGAATCTTTGAAAAATCATAGTAAATCACAGAAAAATCATAAAATGGAAAATCCAATTTTGTTGGACTTTACATGAGTAGATCTACACAGTGAACATATAATATGGTATGCTTTAGTACAAATTTTTTTCTGTAGCTTTAGATCTATGCTTTTCTGTAATTAATTGGAATAATTCATAGCTGCAGCTTCTATTGTCCAATTTTATGATTTTTCTGTGATTTACTATGATTTTTCAAAGATTCAGCGGAAATAAATAAAAAAGGAAAAGACAAAACCACCGTCGCTATAGCAAAACCACCGTCCAAAACCGCTTGGGGGTAGAAAATCCGGTTTTATAGTTTTGGGGGGTGAAGTAGTCCACCCTGAATAGTTGGGGTTGGGGTTTGGGGGCGGGCGGGGGTGTTGTTATGTAGACTTTTTCCTTTGTTTAAAAGTTTCTTGTCTGTGCTGAAAACCAATAAATCTGTGAGCTGGAAACCTAGAAACTTATGATGTCCACTCGATTGCATTCACGGTTACTTAAGGCTTGAGCTGCAGTGCTACTTCCACGTACACAGTTATGGATTGGTCGTCCCCATTTCTACACTTCAACTGTGACGCATCTGTTCAAAACCAATCTGTCTTTGCCACGCATCTTCCTCTGAAACTATAGCAAGTTGTCAGTAGTGTATGCCATTATAGCTAAACTTACCCTGTCCATGTCAAAACCCTGCATTCCTCCTTTCTGAAATGAGCAAGTTACTGCCCCTCGATTTCTCTGTCAGTGCATTTTGGGCCAGTGCCAGTTTGGTTCTTGACCTTAACAAGGCAAGCCAAATCTTGGCCATACCTAGCCGTTTTGGTTCTGATTTGGTTCGTGGAGTTTACCTGCATTGCTCACCTTTCATGCCTCTGTACCTTATGCTGTTAAACTTGAGCATCTTCAAAGTCCAAGCCATCATGAAGAACCATCCTTTGTTTAGCTCGCCGGGTACTTAGTGATTGTCATCTTGATTGCTCGTTGACCTTGTTTTGGTCAGTTGGTTTCTCAGCTTGCATCAGCAATGGAATGTGCCCGACTGAGATGCCAATTGTGCTTTTACTGTGGAGTGTATTCTCATTGTCCTGGGAAGTGCAATTTCTGGTCCTGTAGGCTACTCAGCCGAATTGCAGATATCCGTGTCTCTGCCACAAGCCCACAACATGAGATGAGCCGATTAGTGTGATTTGCAATTTGCAAATTGCAAATGGTTGGTTCTGAATTTGTGATATACCCAGACTCCCAGAGCCCATTTTCCACACGCCTTTATCGCGATTTTAGCCTAATCCTGCAAAAACTACATTGATTAAACACATTTTTTTTTTTTTGATAATCTGTAAATTCATTGATACAAGTTAGAAATCACCATCGGCTTTCCTCGTTTCCGTGTGTTCAACACCTGGACCATTCCAGCATCTGGAATCAGCAGCAATGTTGGGACAATCTGAGCTGTGGACGCACCTGAACACGAGAAATATGGCTTGTGCTTTGAAACGGCAGTGTATTCAGACTTGTGTATTGTTGAGTTTAAAGGACTGGGTGCTGATCGTAGTCATTATATAGACTCGTGCCATGAGTGAACAGACCGTGCCTGGCGCAGCTACGACTCACTAGCTTCCGACCTCCTGTAACACCCTTGGCCGCCGGCGATCGCCGTCCGACGTGAGCGCACGCGTGAGAACGGAGTACGAGGAAGCGGGCGAGGTTAACCCCTCTGCCTTGGCTTCGATATCTATTACTGAATGTCTGGATGTCGATCCCCTTACAGGTTCAGGCATTTAGATGCCACTTACAGTCACTGGCCAACCGGCCCCACTAAGCAGACATGAATGAAAACGTAAACTGGTAAATGCGCTAAGCAAAGAACGAAGACATCTTCTCGTGGCACACCCTTCTACTGCTCGGCTCCAGGTGTGACACCTCCCCCTGCCGGAGATGCAGCTTGTCCCAGGACAAGCTGGACGTAAGGAAAGCGCTGCTTGACGACGTGGTAGTCTTCCCAAGTTGTAGCCGATGATGGTAGGCCAACCCAGGTGAGCTTGACTTGTGGGACAGCTGTGTTGCCCTTCTTGACCAGCCGGCGATCAATGATGGCCTGTGGTTTAGTTGCCGACGCCTCCAAGTCAGTTACGCCTGGAAGAGAGTCATAAACAGGAGTGTAATCTGCAGTGAATGGTTTAAGTTGTGAGATGTGAAAGACTGGATGGATCATCGAGCCTTCTGGTAACTTCAGCTTGTATGCGACAAAGCCCACTCGTTCCTGAACTTCATGAGGTCCAAAATACTTGTATGCAAGCTTTGGGTATGGTCTGTTTGCTACTGTGGATTTGGTGTATGGCTGTAACTTCAGGAGCACTTGATCACCCACATTGAAGTGACCATCACTGCGTTTGTTATCTGCATTCAGTTTCATTCTGTTTTGAGCCCGGGCCAGATGTTCCTTGAGTGACTGGAGATGAAGCTCCCTTCTTTCAATGACTTAAGCAACTGTGGGAGAAGTTGATGGTGGGATTGTGGGCACTGCACCAATATTGGGGTCATACCCATATAAAGCTTTGAATGGAGAGCAACCCAGTGAGGTGTGGAGAGAGGTGTTATACTACAGTTCAGCAAGGGCAAGCCATGACTTCAAGGTCTTGGGAGCATCCTGAACAGCACATCTGAGATACATTTCCACACACTGATTCACCCTCTCGGTCTGGCCATCTGTTTGTGGGTGATATGCTGACAAAAACAGTGTCTCTATCAGTTACAATAGAGGAAGGTAAACCATGGAGCTTTACCACTGTATCCATGAACAGTTGGGCAATGGATGTGGCTATGTAGGGATGCTTCACTGGTATGAAGTGTGCATATTTGGTTAGCCTGTCTACTATCAACATGATGACACTGTATCCTTCAGACTTGGGCAATGGTTGCAGCAGTTCCATTGGATGGTGTAACGAGTGTTTTGCCTGTTGACATACAGCACATTGCTTCACAAAGTTTTCTACATCTTGCTTGATACCTTTCCAAGCAAAGTATTTTTTAAGTCTGCTATAAGAAGCAGCTATCCCAGAATGACCCCCTAGTGCACTTGAGTGACAAGCAGCTATAAGTTTGGTTTGCAGTGCAGAATTGTTCCCAATCCAGATTTTGCCATTATGACAAATCAAACCTTGATCCAAACTGTATCCTTGCTGATCAGGGCTGTGCAAAGCCAATCTTTGTATGAGTTGTTGCGCTTGAGAGTCTGTAGTGTAGCTGTTTAGTACCTCTTGTATCCATGCAGGCTGTACAGAAGATACTGCTTGGAGGGCCATCAAATGTCCCACTCTGGACAATGCATCAGCTGCAAGATTTTCTATTCTCTTTCTGTAAACAATCTTGAAATGCAAACCCATAAGTCTTGTCATAGCTTTTCTCTGCATGTTTGAGTGGAGGTTTTGTTCATTCAAATAGGCTAATGACTTGTGATCAGTTTGAATGACACACTCTTGTCTCTCTAAGTAATGCCTCCACTTATCAACGACCATAATTAGTGCTAGAAATCCTTTTTCATAGATGGAGAGGCTCTTGTGTTTGTCACCTAAAGCTTTGCTTAGGTAAGCTATTGGTTGACCATGCTGCATTAAAACTGCCCCAATTCCATCTTGACAGGTATCTGTCTCCACTGTAAATGTTGAAAGGTTCTAATGGCTAGAGGGGGTGAATAGCCTATAAAAATTTCTACAACAATACTAAGCAATGTGGTTAGACAAATATGAGGCGAAACGAATGTTGCGCTAGCCTACTAAAAATACAAGCCACCTACCACAATTCTAGTTTCTATAGTCTCTAAGCACATAAAGGATATGTCACTACACTAAGTTAGTGAGCTCTCAAAGACTAACTAAAGAGCCTCACTAACTACTAGACCCGACACAAGCTAGCTCTCAAAAACTAATTACACTAAAGAGCTTAGCTACACTAAGAATGTAAATACACGAGATGGATAGTGAGTTATACCACCATGTCGAGGAATGAGCCAATCATAAGATGAAGTAAATCAATCACAATGAATATCAAGAAATCCTTGGGAACAAGATGACACAATGATTTTTCACCGAGGTTCACTTGCTTGCCGGCAAGCTAGTCCTCGATGTGGCGATTCACTCACTTGGAGGTTCACGCGCTAATAGGCATCACACGCCTAACCTGCAACCGGGTGTCGCACAACCAACACAAGATAAGGATCACACAAGCCACGAGTAATCCACTAGAGTACCTTTTGGCTCTCCGCCAA